AAAAACTAAAAAGAGAAATGAACATGCTTGTTTGGAAACCAGTTACATTTTTAAAGTTAAATTTGCATTTAAATTTAAGAATGAAATAATTTACCTGTTGAGAGTGTGGTAACAGTCTGTAGTTGGATCACTGAGCTCCAGAAAAAATCAGTAATGAGATGCTTTGACAGTTACAGATTTGAAAAACAAAAGGGCGGGAATAAAAGAACCCTAAACTCTAACACAAAGAACCATTTAAGCATAAAAGGGTTCTTCAGAATGCTATGGTTCTAAATAAAACCATTACTGCATGTAAAGAACCTTTAAAGAACCATCTTTTTTTAGAGTGTATTTTGAATGTTTTGTAACGAATAAACAAATGTGTTTGAAGGATCTAAGGGTTCTTTGTAGAAACATGTATGTTGCTTCAAGAGAACAAACATATATTTGTGTTTTTTTCCTTCTATATTCATTTATTAATTTGTAATCATTTATCGTTTAATCATTTTATTTATAAACATATAATAATTTATTATAATCATTTAACCATTTATAACTATTTTCCATTGTTGTTTAAACTTGTGATTGTGTGGTTTCAATGGATATTTTTCTTCACACGTAAGAGACAAGACGTAAAAGATCAATTTCAAGGTTTTTACCATCACTGAATCGTAATTTTCCATTGCTATTGCTTGTCGTATAATAACACTTCTTGGATTTGTGCTAGTGCAGACAAGACTTGCTGATAACGGGTTTTGGATATCAGACCATACTCTGCTGACTGGGTTTTGGAAACAAGACAAAATCTCTGGCAGGATCCGGCGTTTGGGGTTGGATCTGAAATTTCTGACGTGGAGACTTGATCTAACAGTTTATTAGAAGCTATGTGACTGGGTCCGGATGGCAACATTTCACAGCAGTTAAATTCAATTAAATTCAATTCAAGTTTATTTGTATAGCCCTTTTCAAGATACAAATCGTTGCAAAGCAACTTTACAGCAAATTAAGTTTCTACAATATTTAGTGGTAGCTTATCAGTGGTGACTGTCAGTTAATATACATATGCCAGAAATGGCCAGGACTACCTGTAGCTTGTTTATTGAAGATGCAGGACATCGACCTAGCAGTGCATTGCAATAGTCCAGTCTAGAGGTCATGAATGCATGAACTAGCTTTTCTGCATCAGAAACAGGTAACATGTTTCGTAGCTTGGCAATGTTTCTAAGATGGAAGAATGCTGTTTTTGTAACATGGGAAATATGATTTTCAAAAGACAAGTTGCTATCTAATATAACACCCAGATTTTTGACTGTAGAGGAAGTAACAGTACATCTGTCTAGTTGCAAATTGTAATCCAAGAGATTCTGTGTACTGTCTTTTGGTCCAATAAGTAATATCTCGGTCTTATCCGAATTTAATAGGAGAAAATTATTGGTCATCCAGTCTTTTACATTTTTAACACACTCTGTTAGCTTAGATAATTTAGAAGTTTCATCTGGTCTTATTGAGATTATTTATATATCTTCGTATTTTCTAATAATATATCCAAGGGGCAACATGTATATTGAAAATAGCAGAGGACCTAGGACAGATCCTTGTGGCACTCCATATTTTACTGGTGATAATTGAGATGACTCCCCATTTAAATGAACAAGGTGGTAGAGATCGGACAGGTAGGATCTAAACCATCTTAAAGCCTGCCCTTGAATACCTGTATAGTTTTGTAATCGATTATGAGTATGATCTATAGTGTCGGACGCAGCACTAAGATCAAGTAAAACCAGCAATGAGATGCAGCCTTGGTCTGACACAAGAAGCAAGTCATTTGTAATTTTAACAAGTGCAGTTTCTGTGCTATGCTGGGGCCTGAAACCTGATTGAAATTCTTCATAGAGATCTAGAGAAAGGTTTTAAATAAACAGCAATAAATAAGAAGTTCTTGTCGTAGCAACATCTTTGATGATAAAGAGGAAATGATGCTGTCTTCTATTGCTCCCTCTGGAGTAAGGCATAAGGATTCTCACTTCTGCTTGGAATTTGCTTGGTGACTGACTGATGGTTCATAATAGTACTTATATTGCTTAATATTAGTCATTCGTAATGGTGTTTCCAATAAAACCCCCAAAACACTGGAGATTAAAATGGATCTCTATTCTACTGTAGCAATTTATTATTTATTTGCTTGTGCAGTATTTCATTTCACTGACATGTCACTGAGACAATACAGTAAATGATTCAGTGACACTATTCACTATCAGTCAAGCTGAGAACAAGCCGTATGTGTACAATTTAAAGGGGTCATATGATGTTGCTAAAAAGAACATTATTTTGAGTATTTGTAATTATAAATGTGTTTATGCGGTTTAAGGTTCAAAAAACACATTATTTTCCACATACTGTACATTATTGTTTCTCCTCTATGCCCCGCCTTTCTGAAACGCGTACAACGAGACAAAACCAATAAAACCCATTATAAACAAGGCATTTGTTGCATCCAGTGAGTTATGCCTTCTTTCTTTGCGTGAACATTTGGGCGGCGTTATGCAAATCTTCCCACATCGTGACGTAGACATGTGGGGGCGTGTTTAAACAAGGCGTTTTAGGGGGGTGTGGACAAGTCTTAAAGGGTTAGTTCACCCAAAAATTTAAATTAGCCCATAAATGACTCACCCTCAAGTCATCATAGCTGTATATGACTTTCTTCTTTCAGACGAATCCAGTCGGAGTTATATTACAAATTTTCTTTGATCTTTCAAGCTGTTTAATGCCACTCAGCGGGTGTTGCATGCATCAGTCCAAAAAAAGTGAAATAAAAAGCACCCATCCATAAAAAAAGTGTCTCACACGGCTCCGGGGGGTGAACAAAGGCCTCCTGTAGCGAATCAAGGCATTTTTAAAACGTAATAATCACTTTAATCTAGCTTGTGCCAACAGTTGTACACAGCAGCATAATGTTTGAGTTCAGCGTTGCGCATGCGCCGGTGAGTCTCGTGAAAACCAACGTTTGTTAACAGGAGCAAAGGAAGCAAAGTTTCCTTACTTTAGCAAAGGAAAACCAGTCTCCTCTTGGCTTATATTGAAATCCTCCGACATTCTTCTTTACAAATCCTCGTTTTGTACTTCTAATTCGTGACTGTTGTTTCGTTTTGATCTCTCCGCTGCGCTTCTACGTTCGTCACTTCTGAGCCGCGCATGCGCAATGCCGAACTCATACGTCATCCGCCCGGAACTGCTTCCGTGATTATTAAGTTTTAAATATGGATATTTGTCTTACAAAAACACATCGATTCGCTACAGGAGGCCTTTGTTCACCCCCCGGAGCCGTGTGAGACACTTTTTTTATGGATGGG